TATATATATATATATATATATATATATCAATCCTTTGTATTGATAAATACTGAACTTTGTCCTATACTTAATTAGAATGTTTGGCATCTAAAGTTTTAAAAGCCTTAATTTCATGAGCAAGTTCCCAAGTTTAAAAGGATAACTCATTTTTTAGATTGCATTATAAGATTTGACTTTAACTCCTAGCTTCGTATATGTGCTGCACAAATAATCAAATTATACCAACTTTTTTATTTTTGCATTTAATTTTTCCTGATATTACTTGTTTTTTTTTTTTTTCGTTATTGAGTCTTTCATGAAAACCAAATATATATAAGCATTGAATTTGTTAGATATGTTCAATATCATGAAATTAGTTTCAAACATTTACAGGTGGCATAATCATCTTAATCCTGATATAAAGAAGGATGCCTGGACTTTTGAGGAGGAATTGGCCCTTATGGATGCTCATCGTATATATGGAAACAAATGGGCTGAAATAGCGAAGGTTCTTCATGGAAGGTATACTTTCCTATTAATTCTTTAGTTTAACATTACCAGAATCTTACGATTTGCTATTCGAATCTTCCGATTCGATACAATTTGGCAACCTACCAATATGTATCATAAGATGAATCTAAAATGACTTTGTATCTTACAATAAACGAAGGAATCTATGTAATTTCGTATAATCAATAGACAATGCATTTTTTTTTTCCCTTCTTTTTTGACCTTTCTTTCACCAATTCTCATGAAAAAATTGAAAAGTCATAAGCCTAAATTGTTAAATGAAAAGGAATTGAAGGAACATTTTTGAACTTATCCTATTTGATTATTCCATTACTCAATTTGTCACTCACTCATTCAATGCATATACTATATTTAACTATTCACTTGCATCATTTCCATTTTTCTAAACTAAAGGTTTCACAAACTCGTATAACTATAATTATTTTTTTTCTACAAGACTTTGCTTAAGTTGTTTTTATCTATTTCTAGTTTAAGTTTTTTACATTGAACACTATATATCATGATATATTTGTAGTAACTTCTCATTGTTTCTGAATCTTACGATTTGATATAAATTATGATTCACGATTCAAAAATTAGCCTAATGATTCACGATTCTAATCCCAATTTGATAACCTTGCTTTAGTCGTCATAAAAGAAATTAAAGTCATAATTAACATTTAACAAGTATCACGGAATGCTGTATTTATTGTATTATGCTAATTGTGGACTGTGGAGTATGATTTTGGGGTATTCTCTCTCTTTCTAAATAATAAAACTCATTGGAGGATGTATTCTAGTTACACTCCATTTCTGATATGAACCCCGTATGGATCGCAATGAAATTTTCTTTCAACTCACCCACCTGCACCCTGTACAAAGGAAAAAGACAGGGAAATTGTAAAGTGATGAAGAAAAATGCTATAGTAATCAGTACCCGATTTATCTATTGAAACAATATGGATCTTACTTTAATTGTTATTAAATTTAAAGGGTAAAGGTTAGTTTGTCTTCTAAAATTGTTTTGTTGGTTTTGGCCCCTATAAAAGTTTTAAATTTTTTTGAAAATGATCTCTATCACCACACTTACTGATAATGTAGCAATAACATGCTTAAATACATGCCATGTCACCACTAAGAACCATTTTCAAAAATTTCAAATTCTATGAGCAACAAAACATACAAAATAATTTTTAGAGGACTAAAACCAAATTTGGCCATATTTTATAACAACTAAAAACATATTTTAGCCAATATAAAGTGGTAACTAGTTTCTTCTGCTTGTGATTTTTGCCTTCGCTAGTTTGCATATACATATAATTTTTTTGTATGCTGCCTTGTCATGGTTTCTGACAGAAACTGGTTTAGGATTTGTATTATAGAAAGAGTGCCCTCTAACCACTATTAGGTGATAAAAAGGCCAGACATCACAAATGTAAAATAAATCCTCTCTGTACTCCCCATGTATTCAAGAGACCTGGACTTTTCCTGCTGGATTTCCACTCTAAAACTGAAGATGCTCTCATTCTTTCCTTCCTATGATTTATGCTCTATCATCACTCCCTATCTAACCAATACAACTAATTGGATATCTTGCTATTATTATATCCAAAGATTGGTCATTCTGTTACCAGGGTATGCTAACAGTTTTTATGGTCAACTAATTTATTATGTCATTTCTCCATTGTCCTTGTTTTAATTCCTCACATGGATAGATCAATCTGCTCAAATTGTGAAAGTCCCCCCTCCCCTCTCCTGTTTTAAGTACCAATTTAAATCATATAATTCTTCAAATATGTAGAATGATGGATCACTGCAAAATGACAAAAATAGTTATCTCTGCAACAGTATTGAGATATTTTTTCTAGTGTGAACTGTTTTCAATTTTCTGGTATATTAATTATATTTGTGACAATGTTTTCATGCAATTTTTGTGCAGGACTGATAATGCAATAAAGAACCACTGGAATAGTTCTTTGAAGAAAAAGATGGATTCCTATCTAGATACTGGAAAACTTCCGTCCACTCCAAAGTACAGTGCACAAGTTGCTGTCAAAGACACAGTTAGCCATTCTACATTTAACACAATACATGTTTGTTCAAATAAAGGATTAGATGACAGCATTGCATCATTATCTAAAACTACAGACATTAGTAAGCAGGATAACAGTGATAAGAATCAACTTGAGTCCTCAGGAACAGTTAGAGAGGTTGGTGATTCTTCAAATGTTCCTGCAAATGAATCTCATGATTCTGACTGCATAAAATGCAATGGATCATCCAACAAAGCTCTCATCTGTAGTAACGCAAAAGTAGTGTCAGGAGATAATTTGGGAATAAACAGTGAGCCAAAATTTGAGAATCCTGTACTCAATGGCAACCCAACAACTGATCATTATATGAATAAAGGTGAAATAAACAGCGACAGGTTAACCAGAATATTTTTTTCTAAGGAAAGTCCGCCACTTGGTTCTTCTAATGAGCCTCCGCAGTTTGCTGAATCACTTGCTTTAGATTCTAATCTTCATTTTAATATCCCTGGCCTACAGAATGATTTATTTTCCTCTCCAATGCTGTCACCTGTTGGTTTCTTAACTCCACCTCCTGTGAAGGGAATTGAATTAAGCCCAGAATCTCCTGAATCAATATTGAAAAAGGCAGCTAAAACTTTCCCAACTCCTTCCATATTGAGGAAGAGAAGGAATAGAGTCCAAAACCCAGTCACTCCTAGTAAGGTTGCCAAAGAATTACATGCTTATACTGAACGAGAGAGAACAAATGATAATTTTGGTTCTGAAGTTGTGAGCTTATCTCTGAGTCTAGCATGCCATAGCTATGAGAGCAACATTCCCCATAATACGGCTTTCAGTGCAACTCCCCCATACCGATTAAGATCCAAGCAAACAACAATTAAGTCTTTGGAGAAAGAACTTGAGTCTGCAGTTGACAAAGAGAAGCCGGAAAAATTGCAAAGAGGAGTGTTGTGGTGACTGAAGATTGTCTTCATAAAGCAAAATTGGCAGAAACGCAGTTCGTTAAGTTGTAAGTCTTTCTAACTTATTTTAATTGTTCATTTAGTTAGGAAGACACTTTGTTCTTGTAGAAATGAAGCACAACCAGACCAGAAAACTGAATCCACTAGGAGCAAATGGTCTTGATGATATTAATTACTGTTTCATAATGCCATATAATATTTTCATTTAATTAAAATAAAAAAGTTCATACAATGTCAGAATATTATAGTTGTGAATTATTGGTCACATAAAGGATTAAGAAAATGAGTTTTTCTCTTATCCAATTAGTGACAGTCTTCTCCCTCCGAATGAAAATGCAACTTTTCTGGAACTAGAAATAATGGATATTTGAATATGATTTCTTATCCTTGTTTCACTTTAAAAAGTTATTGTACATGTCAAATTGTTACCTTTCTGCAATAAATAATACATTTCCCTTGCATTACTTGTAACCTCTTCAATTATCTAACTTGCATATTTACCTGAATTTTGATAAATGCTTCTCTGAATTGTAGGAACTGCATGAATTTTTCTCATAAGTGGTTGACCACGGTTTGCCAGTTTTGCTAGTAATTATACTCCATTGATGGTGACAAGCAGAAGCTGTCGGATACGTATAGAAAAATATTTGATACATTCCATTTAATTGTGGATATATAATTTATATATTTATACCGCGCACACAAGTTTTGTACAGATATATATACTCCTTGAGAAATAAATTTTGGATAGTTTCAGAATAAATTTTCATTTAGCATCTACTTTACAATTAGCAATGGAACCCTGGATTTACTTGATTGAAGCACCAAGGTAGAGCTATATATCTATATTGTATATTATGTTCGTTTAATACTTTTAATACTATAATTTCTGCCTTAGGAGATATTTGATCGACGTGAGATATCCAATAAATATTATATTTTCTACCTTATGATATATAAATAATAATAATAATAGTTATTATTATTATTGTTATTATTAGATAAAATGGGATCATCCCATCATATTTATTCAAATATTATAATATAGTAAAAAAAAACTATTAAAATACATACAAATATTTTACTATTCATACTAAATATTTTACTTGGGTTATCTTATAACCATATATTTTTTTAAATGGATTCTACTTGGCATTTTTTTTTCAGGTTACATATCCCTACTTATGGGTGTGGTATATTAGGATTTTAAAAAAACTTAGTGGTTAAAAAGTATTGTAGTATTTAATTAAGATTTTTTTTTTATTAATTTTTCTTGTGGTATTCAATAAAGATAATCATTTATAAGAGTATGTTAAATTTCAATTATATTCAATTGAAACATTTTTTTTTAACTTTAAAAAGTTTTATAGTATTAAAAACTATGTAAATTTCAATAGATTATTCAAAAAGATAGATTTTGTAAGATTTTTAGTAGAGTTTATACATAATATTTTCATTCAACAATTTTATTAAAACTTTTGAGATTGTGTGGTCTTATTTTCTTTTTCTCTTTTTTCCTTATCCTCTCTACAATCTACTCTCTTGTCTTTATTGTTTCTCTCTCTATATATATATATATATGTCTCTCTCGCTCTTTTCTCTATCTTCTTTCTTTCTCTTTTATCTCTACCACTTCTCTTTCTTCTTTTATTTATTTTTAAAAATTCATCTCTACCATTTCATTTATGCTGACATAATTTTTTTGAAATCTCAATTCAATATATCTCTTAATATTGAAGACTAGAATAACACAAAGTGATTAAAATTATTTTAACAAAATTAATTTTTTATTTCATTTATTGATGTAATTATTTATAAATGTATACTAAGGAATGAAGAAAATTATTAACACATGAATAAATTCAAAGTTTAAAATAAAAAACTTCCATCTTTTTCTCATACTAGACTATTTTTCTAATGTTTTAAGAAGATATTAGAGGCACTTACATAAGTTACTAACTATGTTATTTTATATTGAATATCTATTAGTATATTTTTGGATCACAAGGACGCTAAAACTTATTGGTTATAATAATTCTTTTTTGGTGACTTTTGTTGGTTATAATTTTAAAATAAATAAGAGCAAACAATATTGGGTCTCAACTGTTCTAAAACTTGTTGGTTATAATAATTTTTTTCTTGGTGACTTTTGTTGGCTAATTGAGGAAGAATTATATTGATTTTTTCCAAGTTTGCACTCAAACTATTTTTTTAAAAAATTAAACATCTTCTCTAATGTTAATTTTATATAAATTTAGTTAAATTATAAATAAAATTAAAAAAAATTGCATAGTTAGAAAATAAAATATTTAATGAATATGATTATTCTTTTGCCATTCATTGATGAACTTCCTCTTCGTTAATGTCTTTTTTTGTAGTGTCTTTTTTCAAGCAACACTTCTCTATACTTGATATTTGTGTAGCCTACCAATAAATATTTTTTTTTATATTTGTATTATGTTACAATATAATGATGTCAAGAGTAAAATTACAACACTAATGATTTGCTACATTTTTTCAGCCATAGAAAAAAGTTCAAATAGTAAATAAGAATGAAATTTAACATGTAAATAAATTGACATTATGAAATGGATGATATGTGAAAGGTAAATTATAAAATAAGAGAGATAAATGTCATTTTAATGTCCTCTTACATTTTCTCAGCCATAGGAAAAAGTTCAAATAGTAAATAAGAATGAAATTTAACATGTAAAGAAATTGACATTATAAAATGAAAAATATGTGAAAGATAAATTATAAAATAAGAGAGATAAATGTCATTTTAATTTAAAAATGAATAAGAGAAAACAATAATGTGGAAAAAAAAAAAAAAAAAACAGGTCCACCGTAAATGTCGAACCCACGATCACAATATTATAGCTTCAAGGAGGTTATAACAAATTTTTCAATAATTTAAAAATGAATAACAAAAAACAATAAAATTGTGAATAAAAAAAAACCTTCAACGAGGTTGTAGCAATTTTTCCAATAATTTAAGAATGAAATAAGAACAATAGAAATAACTTGAGATTATAAAAATTTTCCCAATAATTTAAGAATGGAGAACAAATAATAATGAAACACACACACCGTGGGGTTTGAGCCCATGACGACAAGGTTAAAAGTCCTGTGCTCTGGCGACGAAATTAAATTCGTAATTTACACCAATTTTTATGAATTTGAAAAACAAAGTTAAATGTCTATTTCCTAAAATATGTAAAATATAATTTTGAGAAGTCGAAAAACGTACGCCCACCGTGGGACTCGAATCCACCTCAAGGTTAAGAGCATTCTGTTATATAGATTGAGCTGGAGACTTTACGGACTTATATTAAATAAATCAAAATCTATATAAAATTAGTATTTCAAAGTGACATAAAAAATAATTATTTATTTCATATAACTAAAATTATTAATAAATAATAATTTTTTTCATTATATATTATATTATAATTAAAAATTTTAATAAATAAATAATTTTGAATGTTCTTTTGAGTTTCATCCTAACTTTATTTTTCTTTCTATTTTATCTTTAACCCTTTATAAAGTATTAAAAATAGATTTTATCCTCAACTTTATCATTATATATTATTTGCTGTAATTTATCGTTTTTTTACTTTTAGTACATGATAATCGATATGAGCCCTCATCATTTATCAATGTATGGTGTTTTTAGACTTATTGTTACTCTAAAAAAAAGTCTCTTAAAATAATCTTACATGACGAACAAAATATATATTATATTCATTATATTTCACTTTACTATTGTTACGTGGTAAATTAATTTTAATGTTTTTAAGATAAAATTTTAAAATATATTTCATTCCACCCTCACCCTTGTGCTCGTACTTTTCCTCTCCAATCCAAATTCGATGTTCAAATCCTAAACCTCCCAATCCCAACCCCAATGCTCTCACGAGGGACAACTTCTCACAGTTCAAAATCTTGACAATGATACCAAATTATTTCTCAACGAGTACTACTACCTTTTAGAGGCTGCCACCAGCTGCCACCTCACTATGGAGAAGTTCGACCTTACACTCATCTACTTCCCCATGTTACAGGAGCTCATGTACTATCAAAGCATCCACCACTTCGTTGATAGTGCCATCAATGTTGCCTTCGTGAGGCCGAAAACTATGTTAGTTGGCTCAAGGCATAAGATTGTCACCACCTACAATAGCTATCGCAACAAGCAGGACACTAACGACAATTATAACACAGTGTTTTATGATTGGAGAAGGTGTGCGTAAAGAGTATGATGAAGTGACAATAGTAAAATACATTTTGGATTTTTTCCCAAATGAAATTTAAAATCAATTTACTGAAAGACAATATAACATTTATAATATATATTTTGTTAGTCATGCATTTTTTAATGGGAGTTAATGGTAAGAATTATTTTTGAAATGTTACAAAAGGTTAGAGATGAAATAACAAAAAAATTTACAGAGACTAAAAGTGAGAAAACGATAAATTATAAGGATGAAAATGATATTTAAGCCTATTTTTATCCATTAGAAGTATAATGTCAACACCAAAATTCGAATTTAAGACCATATAATTTTACTCAAACTCTCCACTATACTAGATCGGACCTAGTGGTTCTAATGACTATATTTTCTATTCATTTATCCCCATTTCTTTCCATTTTTCCTTCTAAACAAAAGATGACACCAGAAAATGAAACAATTGGAGCTAGAAAAATAATGTATAGTTAATAAAGTGCACATTATTTCAGTAAGTGGCTAAAACTCAAGCCAAGTCACATGTTAGTTCCTGAAGGAGATCATGAAATATTAAGTCTTCAACCTCCAAACCCACACACTGAGCAAACAAGTGAAGGTTGAGCCACCCATCACGCCTCGATAGGTCTCGACCTACATGATCATCTATTGTAAGGCCAGCAATGGATCTCATGCAGAAGGATTTGCTCATATGAGTCCACACTTTATGAATAGTGTCGCACCCTTTTGGTTTTGGCATTGGATGAGATTGTGACAATGGCATGGGACAGCAGCAGTAACACCTCCCAGAAAGTTCCAACAATGTCTCATTAATTAAATCAAACAACACATGGTGGTTACACCGACCATAGCTATAGCTACAAAAATCAGGGTCACCTTCCATTTCTTCGTAGAGTAATGGATCTACTGGGTGGTCACTAGAATGCCACGCTGAAATGCAATCTTTACCTGTTAGTCCACATATTTCAAGTACATATTTAACATAATTATACTCAGCTTTGTCTCTTGTGTCAACATCAAAAGGAGGAATCTCATAATTTAACTGCTTGCTTTCAATCTCCACCTTTTGAGCACTTTTTAGGGAATCCACGATACCCTCTTGTTGCTCAACCATGTTATCCAGTTTGCCCCCTGGTTCCGGATTCGATTTTGAATCTACCAAATTCAGAGAATGAAAGTAAGTAATGCAACTGAAAATATTTAGAGATTTTAATATCGGGATAATGAAATGCAATATATCATTTATATATTAGACCGACCCACATTTTTCATACGAAATATTATATGCTGATATGCACATGCTAATATAGGTAAAATGAAATGTCAGAGACATGGCATACAAAATTTAATTTTAGTGTAAACACAAACTTCTCTTAAAGAACTTTTATGAGAAAATTAAGAAGAAAAAATAAAATAAATTTCTTTATAAATTAAAACTAGCTTATACATAAGATGCAAATAAGTTTTTGGAGAAGTTAACATGAGAGAGATTTTACAAATTAAATTACATTTAAATTAATTTTAGCTGATGAAAAAATTTATTTCATTTTCTTTTATATTTTTTTTCTCCTAGAAGTGTTTCTAAAGAAATTTATCCAAACATATCTTCTTTTGTGTTTTTCTACCTTATGACTTATGTAAATGTTTTTAACCAAAACTATTTAAGAGTAGTATATATTAAGAAACAACAGTTGAGTGAGATAGGCTAATTAACCTGATGCTGCTGTTGCAGTCTTGTATTCTTTTATTGGCACAATATATTGGTCATTAGAAGTGGCGCCACTTTTTAAACAGCAGTGTCCAAAATCATCAGTTTTCATCATGTCCACCTTGTCATTAATCTTACTGCGATAATGTGATCCTGGTTCAACAATATTGCTACTCACTAAATCATTTTCACCTACACCGACAAGGTGTTTTTGAATCAAATTTTCTACAGGTGTATCTAACTGAATTTGACTTTTTGAACATAAATTAAGGTCTAGCTTCTTTTTCTGATAGGAAATATTCGCTGAACTCACAGTTCCATCCCCGGAAGCTGTGATTGGCTTAGTCACAGATGAAATATCAGGAAATTCCCAATTCTGATAAACATAAGAAAAAGATTGGAGATCACCAGGTAATGAAATCATCCTTTGTAAGGGTGCAAGCATCCTCAATGGTGAACGTGCCTCTTCCGTTCTTAATTTTAGGTTCACGGATTGAAGGTGATTTGGTTGTGTGTTAAAGCTATTCTCATAGAGTTGCCAATAAATTTCTAGTGGTTCTTGAAGAGACCAGATTCTTCTTATGTTGTGCCTGTGATGCTTGGTGAATGAAGGAGTAGTGTATTGATCACTCTCATTACAACTTTCAGGATAGTATTCACCTTCTCTAGTAATATTAGGATCAGTCAATTTCTTGAAAAAATCCTTCTTTAAATCATCTGAAATCCCATGGCCTTGGGGAAGTTTGTGAATGACAGCATCCATAGTAACACGGAGCTTTTCTTTCCTACTTTCTCCGGTAACATGCTCTATTTTCTGTTTCAGATTCTTAAATTGTTTGATTTCATTCTGATTCTGACCCTGAGCAGACCCTGAAGAACAATTAACATCTCTTACCATCGTTGCTTCATTTACATTGAAACATTTTGCTCCTGATGACATGGACCTCACATAAAATTTTTTTGAGGGTTCAAATTGAACTGACTTTGGTGTTTTGTTGTCCAAACATAACTTTCCTTTCCCTTGTTGTAGAGAACTATTGCCTATAGCCCAAGAACCTTGTTCTTTTGATGATGAATCAGGTAGAGGAAATGACACTGACCTGGATAGTTTCTTTTTTGAACCATACACCTGTTGTTTATGGAGGTTATAGATCAAAGGAGAGACTGGATCTTGCATAAATGTTGTTAACAATTTCTTGTTCATGTTGATTGGAGCCAGAGGACAGGTTGAACTTCTATGATGTCTATTCCTCTTCTTTGATATCTCTTCGAAAACAATTGCTTTTATTCGACTCCTTAATGAGTCTTTTGCAAATGAAGAATATGATGTCTTCACTGTCTTGTTTTTCTCAACCTGGCAAGCTTCAAATTAGATACAAACTTTTATTCATTTCCCAGTAAGTCAGTGAACTCATTCTGCATTAAGAAGAAACCAATTCATCCGAAACCAGAATCAATTGAATTCAAACTATGATAACCTATTCATAAACAACAGTGGCAATTTTTTTATTCGTCATCTGCAGGTTAAATGAGAACATATAAATGATGAATTTGCATATAGCCATAGACTACCTTTTATTATATAGTCCATGATCACTACATGTCCGTGGTCTTAGTCATTCATTATGTGACATGCATTTAAGTTTTTCAATTTTCGAGAAGAAATTAATAATACTTAATTACATGTAGGAAAGACATAAATATGTTTAAACTATATTGAATTAGGTCAGTTTTTGGATTATTATTTATTAATTTTTTTTTTAAATTACTTGATTAATATATATTTTTTTTTAATTTAGTACTTAACGTTAGTTTTCGTCTTTAAATGAAGACGTGACTAACAGATTACCATGTCATTACTTAATAGTGTATACCATGTCTAACAGATTACCATGTCATTACTCAATAGTGTATGCCATGTTAGTACACATATCTACCTCATTCTCCACGTAATTTGCCACGTCAGACTTGAAATTTAAAAAAAAATTGTTTCGTGTAGGAAATTTATGAACCGGCCTCCCCTTGCCGCCGCCCACCTCCCCTTGCCGCCCCGCCTGGTGGCCATCAGAGACCTCATCGATGCTGTCGACCGCTACGTAGGCGGCTGCGCCACCGTTTTCCAGGTCGGCGACGTGCTCGACTGCGGTGGCAACGAGCTAAAGATCCTCTACTTCCTGGAGAAGTTGAAGCGCGATGCGGCGCGCAGTGGCGCCGCAATCCATTGGGTCAATGGGCTTTAGGGCCATCATCTTCTTCCACCTCCATCATGGGCTGTTGGAGATTCTCTTCCAATGCTACCAATGTTCCCTATAAGCGAATCTACCGTGGACCCCTTGTTCAACAAATTGACGGTGGCAATTCACGCGTTTGTGGTCTTGTTAACAATAGTAGTGTTATTGTTGATGTGCCTGCGCATGGTGGGAATTACACTTTTGTAGTAGCAGGGTTTAGGCATTATCTCTTTTGATGGTAGCTTGCATTGTTGGGGAGACATGGAGGGTGAAATACCACAAGGGAGATTCTTTTCTTTGGCGTTGGGAGAGAACCGAAGCTGTGCCCTTGGGTATGACAGAATAGTTCTATGTTGGGGGTCCAATAATTTCATCATGCCACCCAGGATGGAGGTGGAAGAAGATGATGGTCCTAAAGCCCATTGACTCAATGGATTGCACTAGGCAGGGCGGCGGCGAGGGGAGGGTTTCCAACGCGAAACAATTTTTTTTTTTTTAAATTTCAAGTTGGATGTGACAAATTACGTGAAGAATGAGGTGGACATGTGTGCTGACATAGTATACACAGTTGGGTGATGACGTGACAGTCTGTTAGCCACATAATCATTTAACAGACGGAGATTAACGTCAAGTACTAAATTGAAAAAAAATATTAGTCAAGTAATTTAAACAAAAAAAAATTAATAAGTAGTAATCTGAAAACTGACCTAATTTAAAGTAGTTTAAATATATTTTAGTTGATGACAAAAATACCCTCACTCGCAGGTATCTGCGAGTAAAATTCGCTATGGATAATAAATGGATAGACTAATTGGGTACCCGTAGATAATGGAGACGGATGATTTTTTACCTGTTTATAAATGAGAGGGGGGGCGGGTATGATGATATTCATACCCCTGGTACCCGTTTAATAATATTTCTTAAATATCCTAATTATCCTTGTATCACATAACCCTAAAACTACACTCTCACATTTTTTGTGATATGAGACTTTCACTTACTTATGAGATTGATGTATTTTAAGTTATTGATTATTTTGCATTTTTATTATTATTTTAACAAAATTAACGTTAAATACAAGTTCAAATTAACATTAAATTTTTATTTTTAATATTTCAATGACATTAAATATAAACTTAAAATTATTTGTAATATAAATTTTTTAATTTCTTAAAAAATTTATAAATATCTATGGATATCCATGGGTATTCAAGAAATTCATGGATATCCGCTTAATGGATACCCGCATGGATATGGGGTGAGTATGGGGCCAATTTTCAGCTTGCGGGACGGGGATAGATTTATTATTACCTGTCCCATGAGGTCCCATTATTATCCCTAATTACATGTTATATAGAGACTAATTAGAGATCATGTGGTTAAGGACTATTTAATAATTTCTCAATATAAAGGGTGACATGGAATGTGAAGAAAAGAAATAAGTTAAATTAGAAGATGAGAACTTACATTTGAGTTTCTTGCCACAAGGTTGGGTTCCTTCTTTCTGTCAGCTGAAAACACGTACAATTCTTGCATATAAGATTAGGTGCTAAATGTTCAAAGTTTAGAAGGAAATGATGTCTTTGTGTCATATTGAATCCTTAAATGATGCAGAAAATTTGCTGAACAATTCTAACACTCTGGTCCATCTAATATGTTCCACAAAAATAGAAAAAATGGTCCTTCTAGTGTAGAAAGAATTATGATTTAATATTGTGGATAAATTAGGAATGTTTAGATTTTATTATTCTGAATAATTTAGGGAAATAAATTAAGAATATTTAGATTTTATTATTCTAAATAAATCAGGCATATAAATTTCTGAATTATGAATTCACCTTCTCTTTTTATTGTATTTTATTTTTTATTTTTTTATTTTAATTTTTTATTTCTTTCCTATTTTTTTTGGGGTTTTAATTTCCATTCTTTAAGGGATTTGTCTCCTTTTGTTTTCCCTGTTTAAATTGTATTACTCAATTGTTATTATCAGAATAAAATAAAGTGACAAATATTTCTACATGGTATCAAGATTCTTATGGTTGGATCAGGAATAGTGATGGAAGACCATGGGTCAAGGGCCCAATTACTCGAGCTATGGCTAGGAGCATACAAGAAGGATTGGCTAGCTTGGAGGTTAGTGGGCTTTCTATGCCCAAGTTACTCTTCATGTGGGCCATCACATCTTGAGAAATGGCCTAACTTTTTTGTACATAGTAGTTTCTTGTATAGGTTTCTTTTTGCCTTTGTATTTGTGAGGCACTTTCTTTCTTTTATTATAGGATATTCCTTTGAGTATTTAGGGTATGTTACTTGCAGACTTTTGTTTCATTTGACCTTGTATTAAGGGTCATTTATTTTCATATTTTCAGTAGTAGAAGTGGGGTGAAAAATAGTAAGGTGTGTAGGTGTAACTAGTAATTGGACCAAAAGTGGGTCTAGGCTAAATTTTACATATTGGACTTATTTTCCTCCATTTTTTTTCCAAAAGGAATTGATTTAGCTAGGTCTCACCATCATTTGGTGAACCTAACTAAACCAATTCCAAGATTTCTGGATTGGAAAAGTGAAGGAAAGCACCAAGGGCTGCCTAGCTCACTTCTTGATGGAAACATGCCAAGGCTAAGAAGACCAAGAGGTGATACATTAAAAGAACCAAGAGGAATGAGATGATTTTGAAGACCTTTCATATGGTTGTGTGCATAGTAGTTATTTGTATAGGCTTATTTTGCCTTTGTATTTGTGAGACACTTTGTTTCCTTTTTATAGACCACTGTATTGTAAATTTAGAGTAGGTTCTTTGGAGACTTTTACTCCATTTGACCTTGTATTAAAGGTCAGTCAATTTACAATTTTCAGTAGTAGAAGTGGGGTGGCAAATAGCAAGGCATGAGGGTGTAACTAGCAATTGGGCCAGAGTTGGGCTGAGGCTAAATTTTACATATTGGACTTGTTTTGCTCCATATTTTTCAAGGAATTGATTTAGCTAGGTCTCATCATCATTGGGTGAACCTAACTAAAACAATTCCAAAATATTTGGATTGGAAAAATGGAGGAAACAAGCCCAAGGCCGCCTACTCCTTCCTTTGGCAGAATTAGCTTATTAGCTTTGGTACCTTGGGAAGCTTGTGCTACAAGCTTCTAACTTAGCTTGCTTCCCAAGCAAGGTAAGATAGAAGCTTGCTCCACAAGCCTCCTAAACTAAGGTGGAGGGTCAAGCTAAGCCAACCATGGTTCACTTGAACCATGGTTAACCTTAGCTTGCTCCACAAGCTACCTACTTCTATATAAGTCTAAACCTCTCATTTGTAATCACTTTTGGAATATATGAAATCAGAATTTTCTCAAATTCTCTCTTCCCAAGAGTCTTAGAATCCGTGGAGAACATTTCTCTCCTAGGAACCTTCACAAAGGAGTTCCTCCTTTGTGCCTTGGTTCAACTTTCTTCCTCTTTCTCAAGGAAGAAATCGAATGCACCTAGTTGCTTCAACAAGCTTTGGAGCTTGTGCTTGTTTCGTCCAAAACCTCCATTGAAGACCTCAAGAGCTAGATTGGACTTGAAGATGGAGAATAGGAGAGGACAACAACCACTTCTTCTACTTCCTTCCATCATTTTTGGTATCTAGAGCCTTGGTGCTCTTGAGGTTATGTGTTCTTGTTCTTTGTCTATTTCAAATCTGTCTTGTGTTGTCTACTTTCTTGTCTTTGTTGTATTTATTGTATGGATCTAGTTTTTCTACATATTTTTGATGGATTCACATGTCACATAAATTGATTGATTCAATAGTTTTGCTTGTTTCTTGTTCTTGAATCAATCCGGTTGTGCAACTAGGTTCATTGTGCTTCTGCATTTTTTGTTTGCTGGAGTCTGGCCCAATTCCTAATTGAATCTGTGATTGGATAATAATGTTGAATAGCATGTGTTTTGGTTTTGAATCATATGTTTTGTCTAGAGTCATGTGTAGTCCTTTAACATGTCTAAAATTCTTAGAATAACTTGTTGTACTAATTGTTTGTGTCAAGTGTATGATTCGGTCTTACTTTGGTTGAATTAATTTGTGACACTATATACTCTTTGTGGCTGACCTATATGTGCTTTTATTTTGCATCTCTGTGTTTATATTTGCTATTAGTCCTAGCAAATTCTTAGAGTTAGGTTTCCATGATGTCTTCTAAAAAGTTTGTCAAAAATTTGTCTAAAATAATTTTGCTTCCTAGGATTTCTTATGTCTTGTGTTGTGGCTGAACTGTGTGAATGTTTTTAGTCAATTAAAAAAGAGGAAAAATAGATGTATAAGTGTAGTAAAAAGTGTAAGAAAAACAAAGAAAAAGTGTGCCTAAAAATTTCTCAAAAAAATCGTGCATAGTTGTGAGCACTTGAAACACACACACTTTAATACCTCTTGTTTTTGCTTATTGTTTGGCAACATTTTCTACATTAAATCCGGGACTTATGTTGGTTTAAAAAGGCATTAAAACTCCTGAGTAAAAGAAAAAGAAAGTGAGAAAAAAAATTACAAAAGAAAGAACAAAAGAAAAAACCAAAAGGATTATAAAATAGTGAAAAATTGCTCTCGGTTTTGTGTTTTTGTGTATGTTATAAATCTGTCCAGCCATGAACACTAGCTAATTTCTTCTTGTTTTACTTTTCTAATCTTAGATTTTGTTTTTGTAATCCACGTTAAAGCAATTGATAGGATTCACTTTGATGTGCTAGCCTTTTTTGGTGCCTTAATTTTTGCTTGTTTTTCATTGGAATTCCTTCTTGTTTTGTTTCATCTAACTCTACCACTTGGTGTAGCTCTCCTTAATTGTTCATTTTCAGTTTTTACTAAATCATTCCAGCAACTTAAGTTGTGTTGAGTGCTTCTTTGAAGGTGTGGAAGGCCAAGTTACAAAGGTAGCCTATTGGAATGTTTGTGGTGGCCTAGGAGACTTTTCTTCTCAATTGGAGGAAAGTTCTTGGTGAAGACTAAACACCTAGGAGCAATCAACATCAAGGTTGCTTAGGAGAGACACACTTGTGAAGTTGCTGCAAGAGTTTGGAAGCTGGACAAGGAGTGAAGGAACCAAAAGATTTTTAGAAGAAAAATTTTGTAAAAAGGAATTAGTGACCAAATTTAGAGACGGAAATTTTGCTGTCACAAAATTTTCTCACAAAATTCGTCTCTAAATTCTGTCACTAATATGTGGCTGATTTTGTTTTCAAACTTTAGTGCAACCACTTCATTTCATTTCTTGTGAATTTGCATTTCATTTTTGTACAAAGGCCTTTAGGAGTGTCTTGAGAGTGCCTTTGGTGTTTTTCCATCTCTCCTTAGTGTTTTCATTAGGTAATTTCGTTTAGTATACTTGGTGAGAGTGGTCCTTGGAAGTCTTTGGTACTTTCTAAGCTCTCACATAGGTTTATAGTACTTCACACCTAGTTTATGTTTTCAGCCATTTAGGTTTTCATGTCATTTAAGTTTTCATGCAATTTATGTTTTAAGCAATTTATGTTTTCATGAAATTTATGTTTTCAAGCCTTTTATGTTTTGATTGCATACACAT